CATTTCGTTCGGTCAAAGTTGGTCATCATATCTTTACCCGACAACTCTTTCATCCTTCCCGGGAAAAGAGGGACAGCTGTTGATACCCAATTTTTCCTTGTATATTTTTAATATGCAAAATACTCTCAAAATAGCATGTATGTGCATATATAGGTATGTCCCAAGATTTTATTATTTTTCTCTTAATTATTAAAGATTTTTAAATCAATTTATTACCCTATTTTATCAAGAAAAACACAGTAATTATCCCCAAAATTATCATTTTGGGTGATCATTTATTGGATTCTCATATTTATATTAAACTATAGCTAGCATAAGTTTTCCATATTTTTACAAATTTATTTAGTATTTTTAAAGCTAAATTGCATATAATTGCAATATTGGCCTCTTTCAAGATTTAATTGTAATTATATTTATAAAATCGACTCCAGTATTTTTAATTTGATAATTATGTATTATTAATCATTTTAGTACCTTTAATTTATTTCCAAAAATTATTTTACTATTTTTTATAAAATAAATAAGGGAAAAATGGCTATGTAAATGTTAGCCCATTTGCATTTTAATTTGCAGATTTGACACCCCAATTAAACCCAATTTCAAATACAATTACCCAGCCCAAATCCTAAATCTACCCGACCCACGACCCATTAAAATAACCCGCCCGGATTCCCCTTCAATCCAGGTCGTTGATCAAAATGATCAACGGCCACCCTTAACCGCTTCCTTTTTTAACCTCACCTAACCCCTAAACCTAATCATTTCCCTCCTGTAGCCGCCCTTGAATCCCCCCTTTCTCCCAGTTCTCTCTTAAGCTCCCCTCAAACCCTAGCCTCCTCCCTCCGCTTCCACCCTAAAATCACCGGAATCCATGGCTTCCAAGGCCATTGAAGTCCTATACCGGCCTCCTATAACTCCTACACGCCTGGTTACTATAGTTTCAAGGCCTGACCCTGAAGAAGCTTGGCCCAGACTTTGTTCGATTCAAGTTCTATGGCCGTCTCCGATATTGCTCCGGCCATCCATGGCTATTCGAGCCTGATCTCGACTTCTCCTGCTTAGATCAATGACTTTCCAAGCCTTTCTCACCATTTGGGTTCTTCTAAAACCCTAACTTTTGAGGTTCTTCTGATTTCTTGAGATCTGTTCTTGATCCATGTTTTCCCTAAACATTCAAACGTTTTCTCAAAGTTTCTTTCAAAACTCTGCTTTCAAAACCTTTATCTTTTTCGATTTAGGGTTTTGGCAAGATATTTAGAAGTCTCTCTGATCTTTAGCATGTTCTACTGTATTTCTTATGTTGTTCTTCTACTATGTTTCTTATGTTGATTCTTCTACTGTGTTTTAAAGTCTTAAGTTCTTTATTAGGGTTTCTGATTTTATTTTCTTTGTTGATATTTTTGCCTGATTCTCTTGTCTTTCATCTCTACACTCAATTGATGGCAAAAACCCTAAGATTTGGGGTTCATTCGAGTTTTGATATTATTTGTTATGTGACTTGTTTGTTCCTTATCTCTGAACTTGTTTGGTTTCAAAACCCTAATTTCTTTGGACCTATTTGAGTTTCTGAAGTTGTTTCATCTGTTGCTCGACTGAATTTCAAAATCTTTTGTTTCTTTATATGATTATGAATCCCTGCTAAACTCTTCTAAGGTCTTTCTATTGGACCCTCTGCATGCAATTTGACACTCTCTCCCTTCTTCATTGCTGAGTTAGCGAAACTGACCTATGTGACTACCTTGTTCCTATAGTCCACTACTTACTGATTTTGCAATTGCATGACACTTTTCTTTGTCCTAAATTCAGCCTCGCATGCCTATTACTTCTGTGCTCTTTATATATGTTGAGCTTCCCCTCTAAAATGACTTTCAATTTTTGACTGATATCAGACCTCCTTGTGTAAGTCTGATTGATTCTTTCCTTGTTTTACTAATTTCCCTGTTTCTTGGTTTGATTTGAAAACTTTCCTTAGCCTTTCTGACTTGGTTTATTCATGAACCAGTAATTTCGAATCTCTTACTCCCTGATTTACTATGTACTAATTGATTCTTACCTTATTTGTCTAACCGTGTATTTCAAAGATTTTTCCCTTAATTAAACTCCTATGTATTTACCCCTAATTGTCTACTTTTCACAAGATATTTATTTGATCTCTTTCCTTAAATGATTTCTGTTCATTACCGTTTAAGTTTGAACTCCTTAATTAAAGGAAGTTCTTCTACTAATTGATTTTAATTGGTACATGGTTATTTTCTTCCCTTATTCTCTGCCTGTTTTCAAACTATAAATACCATACTCTTTCATTAACACAGACACACGAACACTCTTAGTTTTCTGAACTCACTCTCACATTCAAAAAGCACTCTCTTTTGTTACTTGTACTATGGCATGTTTTCTTTCAAGTACTGCTAATGTTGTATTTGCTTCTTTGAAACTGGTATGCCCTGATTAAGGTTTTCAGCAACCACAACAATGTGTTTCTTTAATACCTTCACTTGCATGTCTGTCGATTGCTTGTGTTTAGTTCAGAATTTACTTTAGCATGCTGTAATTTCCTTCCTATTATGAATCTCAAACCCCTACCTAATGTGTTTGATCCTAATGGTTTGTTTGAGGCATGACAATATTAAGTATTATTGTCTATGGCCCAAACTTGATTCCCTTGGAATCGTAACCTTTATGTCACTATCCTATGTTGCGTATCCTTGTTGATTTGTAAGCATAGCAGCACTCTCTATTGTTGTGCATGCCCAGAATTAGCTAAATGTCTAAGCACATGGACTCTTTGCAACTTCCCTATTCTCCTGAACCCTTTTTGTGTAGTTGTTTCCGTCTCCTTCACCCCTTTAGAACTCTGTTCCTCACTTGCACTCTCTCTTAGACTTTAAGTTCTGCCCCCCTCTTGTGAGCCTTACCTTGGGACCCATTGATCTCCCTCTGAACTTGGACACTTGAGGGCTAGCCCTTCCACACTGCACTTATCCCCATTCTGATAATGCAATTTGGGTGTGAGCATTGCCCGGAGTCCCATTGAGGCTCTTAGGGAACTTTGACACACTCAGATTGGAGAAAGGCTTTGGATCAATGGTCTTTGAGTTGGGTCTATCATGTAACTCAGAGAGGAAGTCAGAATTAGGCTTCCTCGGGTTGTACGATTTTTACTTTTCCTGATGTAATTTTATTTATTCTGATTTGTAATAATTTGTACTAAATATTTGGGGTTGGTTAGTGAAAAAGGGTGGGTAACTATGCATGCAAAGGGTAGAAATCATGACTATAGGACTATTATATTCCTGCATATTCAACCTCATATAGAAACCACGTCTATAGGATTCTGCATATTCAATTACATCTAGAAATCATGTCTCTAGGGTTCTGCATATTTAACTTCATATAGAAATTATGCCTATAGGATGTTCTGAATTTCGCATGTTCAAACTTCACTTAGAAATCATGTCTATAGGATTTTGCATATTTAATTTCATATAGATATTATGCCTATAGAAATGTTCAATTTTGCATAAGGTTTAAAACAAGGTCCGCATTTAGATACCACGTCTACAAGGCCTTAAAATCAGTAACGCCTAGAAAGCATGCCTATAGGAGTTTCTAATAAAAAATCGGATTTGCCTCACTCAGTGTTAGATATAAAACCAGTAGTAATGGCTGTTATTGTTTGCAGAACTTGTAATCAATTCGTTTAAATTCTGCCTCTCTCTTTCAATAATCAGAGTCCCTCACTTAGCAAGTTAACGAGTATGCATTCAAACAGTTCATTTCGAGCCTTACTGTTTCATTACTTTCTGAATCCAGTAGATACCATGCTTATAGGATCCTTGTTCAACACTTAGGCAAGCCCTAAGGCAATAAATATAAACTGAATCTGCTTCTGTTAATAATTACAACCAGCAGGCAGGCCTGATTCGGACTTCTTATCTGAGTTATGTGATAAGCTGAAACTGTCTCAACAATTTCCTCTCACTCATCTTTAATACCTTTTAAATCAGACCTAAAATAGTACGTGTAAGTCATGTTAATTACGTGCTTCTTTTTTTAAGGAGGTATATCTGAGCCTCTGTTTGTTATATGCTTTCCTCCAATTTGCAATATGTGTTTTGTATGTCGCCTTAGAGTTTTTTTACCTTTGAAACTATAAATAAGCCTAATATCCCTCCCTTTTAGGATTAGTAGTACTATGCCTCCGGGACTGATAGTATTGGGGCAAGTAATAACATGCAATAAGTAATCGAGACCAATTCGCGCTTTAAATACCTTAACGGGGTGGGAAGGGTAGATATAGATATGATGACCACGCGGTAATGTCACGTGTAGCCCCTCATTGAGGAGTGATTACCGGGCATTGTGTGGGGAGATCCATATTATTAATAAACCTAGGACCCTTTTCCCTTATTTCTTTATTTCTTTTATCATTTCAACTCCTTCGCTAAAAACATCAGCTTTCTTTGCTCTTCCAAACTTTGTTTATTTGCAAACCATTATATGAAACCCCCTCTTATTTGAGACCTATTTGTCTACATGTTAATTCACAATAACTGTCTGGCCGGGAACTACACTAGTGGATTCTGAGGGGTGCCTAACAGCTTCCCCTTGGAATAATTTCAAGCCCTTACCCTAATCTCTGGTTATTCAAAATCAAACTCTTTTGGTGTCCTAATGCACCGTAATCATTAGGTGGTGACTCTTCAAACGCAAACCCAATTCCCAAAAGGAATGAGTTGTCCCTCCAAATGTCATAAACTCGATTTCGCTCTAGAAAAAGGGGGCACGACAGACATATATATTCCTTTTGACGATTTCATAAATCAAATATTTCAGGATGGATTTGGAAACCCAAAAATAATTCTGAACCTAGTAATACTAACCAACCAGGACCCAAGTAATCTTGGGTACCTAAAAGAAAGTAATCACTATGTCTTGCAGGAACACCACAGGAGAAATCACAAAGAAAAATGGTACTTAGATAGTGGTGTTTTTGCCACATGACAGGTGATAAAATCTTGTTTAAGAGAGTTACAAAAATAGATGGAGGAAGTGTTAAGTTTGGTGATGAATCAAAAGGAAAAATATTCGGTACCGGAACAGTTCCCTTCAATAACAACTGTGATATCATTGAGGTTTATCTCATTGATGGACTTAACTACAATCTTCTGAGTATAAGTCAACTATACGACTCAGGGTATGAGGTAAAATTCAAGAAAACAGGTTGTGCTATTGAAGATGAGACATGTAAAATAATCCTCCCAGGTAAAAGGTATGGAAATGTTTACATTCTTGATGGATTTGAAAATACAGATGGTCATATCTGTTTAACATCCATATCTGATGATCTTTGATTATGGCATAAGAAACTTGGTCATGCAAGCATGGATTTGATAGAAAAACTTTCCAAGCATGAGTTAGTTATTGGTATACCCAAACTAAATTTCTCTAGAAATCATATATGTGATGCTTGTCAAATTGGAAATCAAACTAGAAATTCTTTCAAAAACAAGGATATTATGTCTACCTCTAAGCCTTTGCATCTGCTTCATATAGATTTATTTGGGCCTACTAGAAGTGCTAGCATAGGAGGGAAACAATATGCTTTTGTCATTGTTGATGATTACTTACGTTTTACTTGGGTGATTTTCTTATCTCATAAAGATGAAGCATTGAAAGTTTTTGAGATTTTCTGTAAGAAGATTGAAAGAGAAAAGGATATCTGATTACAACAATTCAAAGTGATCATGGAGTAGAATTTAAAAGTAGAGCATTTGAAGACTTCTATAATGATCAAGGATATACTCACAATTTCTCTGCACCAAGATCACCCCAACAGAATGGAATCGTTGAAAGGAAAAATAGAACCCTGCAAGATATGGCAAGAACTATGATACTAGAACATTCATTGCCAAATCATTTCTGGGCAGAAGGAGTATGTACAACATGTCATATTCTCAACCGATACCTCATAAGGCCTATTCTGAAGAAAACGCCTTATGAACTGTGGAAAGGTAAACGTCCTAATATTAGTTACTTTAATCCGTTTAGAAGTAAGTGTTTCATTCACAATAATGGTAAGGACAATCTTGAAAAATTCGATCCAAAAAGTGATGAAGATATTTTTCTGAGTTATTCATTGAATATTAGATCTTTTAGAGTCTATAATAAACGTACATTATGTGTGGAAGAATCTGTACATGTTATATTTGATGAAAATAACTCTTCGTCCGAGAAAGAAATTATTGCAAGTGATGAAGATCAAGCTCAAGAAATTCAGGAGACAAGCAAATGTCAAAAGTCGACTAATGGATCTAATGTTGTGATAGAGTCAACTAATGAAACCAGCAACAATCCACCAGAACCTCCAAAGGAGTCAACTACTCATATAGTTCATCCAAATGAATGGAGAAGTGAACTTGAATATCCTCAAAAATTCATCATACGAGATCCAAGCAAAGGAATGAAAACCAGAGGAGCTCTGAAGAAGAAAGCAAACATAGCACTAATCTCTCAAATTGAGCCAAAAAAATAGAGGAAGCTCTGAAAGACTCAAGCTGGCTGCAAGCGATGCAGGAAGAGCTAGATCAATTTGACAAAAATCAAGTATGGAAACTGATACCCAAACCTGAAAGTGTTCCTATAATTGGAACAAAATGGGTCTTCAGAAATAAACTAAATGAGGATGGAAAAGTTGCAAGAAACAAAGCTAGATTAGTTACTCAAGGATATTCACAACAAGAAGGATTCGACTATGACGAAACCTTTGCCCTAGTAGCTCGACTGGAATCTATATGAATTCTTCTAGCATATGCATCTTTTAAGGGATTCAGGCTATTTTAGATGGATATTAAAAGTGCTTTTTTGAATGGTTTCATTGAACAAGAAGTATACGTGACAACCTCCTGGGTTTGTAGATTCAAAGTTTCCCTATCATGTGTATAATCTAACCAAAGCGCTGTATGGACTGAAGCAAGCTCCACGAGCATGCACGAAAGACACAGTTCAATTTTTATTGATCATGGATTTACAAGAGGTAAAGTAGACACTACTCTGTTTATTAAAAGATCATCAGAAGGTAATCTCATTATTCAAATTTATGTTGATGATATTAAATATGGTAGTGTTAATCCTCTTATGTGCAAGGAATTTTCAAATCTTATGCAAAGTGAGTTCGAAATGAGCATGATGGGAGAACTAACGTTCTTCCTTAGACTTGAAATCCAACAATCTGAAGAAGGAACGTTCATATGTCAAACCAAATATACAAAGGAGTTGATCCAAAAACTCGGTATGAGCAATTCCAATCTTATTGGAACACCAATGAGTCCTTTAACAAGTCTCGACAAAGACGAACAGGGAATTCTTATTGATGAAACTAAGTATCGTTAAATGATTGGCTCACTTTTTTACCTAATTTCTAGTCGACCAGATATTATGTTTAGTGTCTGTAAATGTGCCAGGTTTCAGTCAGCTCCTAAGGAATCACATCTGACTGTAGTAAAAAGAATTATTCGATATCTCATTGGAACTGTCTCTCATGGACTATGGTATCCTCGTTCTAACTCGTTTAAATTAGAAGGTTTTTCAGATGCTGATCTTGCAGGTGATAAGGAAGACAGAAAAAGCACAAGTGGAACATGTCAATTACTTGGCAAAGCATTGATATCTTGGAACAGTAAAAATAAAAATCAGTTGCATTATCCATGACTGAAGCTGAATACACCGCTATTGGACAATGTTGTTCACAATTACTATGGATGTCTCATCAACTTGGTGATTATGAATTATCATTTAAGCCTATACCAATTTTCTGTGATAATTCTAGTGTTATATGTCTCTCTAAAAATCTTGTGCATCATTCTAAGGCAAAGCATATAGACATTAAGTATCATTTCATTGGAGATCATGTTCTTAAAGGAAACATAGAACTATCTTTTGTTGGAACAACTGATCAATTAGTGGATATTTTTACTAAGCCTTTATTAGAAGAAAGATTTTGCTTTATAAGAGAATTACTTGGCATTATTTGCACTAATAGTTAATATTAGGACCTATGTGCTATTATTTTTTGTTCTGTATGCCTAATGTTTTATTTCTTTTCTTAATCATTAATTGCACCTCCGATTTCCCTCTCTTTTCTTCTCTTTTCATATTGGTTTCAAAGTTCAAATAAAGAAAACCAATCATCACGTCTGATCAACTGACGCCCCTTGCTTTTCTGTACTCAACCGTCATCACCCTCTTTTTAATATTGAAACTTCTTTTCAATATGCATCGTCCCCATCACCTAGAAACCCTTCTCAGAAGCTTTCCCCAACCAAAAACACTTCAATGGCCAAACACCCCAAAAATCCCTTTGCCTCCACCAGGAAGAGTACTCACTCTAGAGCAAAACCCTCTTCTCCGCCCCCAGAACAAGTAGACCTAGGGTCCGACCATTTTAAAGGTTTTGCCTCTTCTCAAGCTGATGTTTCTAATCATTATCACACACTAGGAGAAAAAGCTTTGTGAAAATGACTTATGGAAGAACCCCCTATTTCCTTCACTCCAAAGAAATCAAAAATATATCTTTCTAGTTCTCTAGAGTCAAACCTAAATTTCTGGGATTCTCTAAATAGAGACTTTTTCATTGCCCTGAAAGACAAGCCTATTGCTCATGGGAGGGTAGTCAGCCTTGATGACATGGAAGCCCTAAATTGTAAGGTAAAAGATCTTTTCATTTATCAAGGGTGGTAAGTTCTTTTCTGTTCCTCCACCTAAGGTCTATGAACCCCTAGTGAGAATGTTTTATGCAAACCTTCGCTCTAGTAAGTCTGATAAGTTGGAGTCCTTAGTGTAAGGAAAGCGTATTTTTTTATTGTGCCATGTTTGATTCAATATTTCAGTGTAAGTGTTCTGGTTTCCCCATGCTTTTCAAAAATTCCTGGCCCGATGATTTTGATATTTCTTTTGATCAAGCTAAAAGGTGTATTGTTGAGTGTCCATCTAAATCTCTCCCAAACAAGTTAGGTCCTAGTGATGTTAGTTTTGAAACTCGTGTTCTGGCCCACATTGTTGCAACCACTTTGCTTCCTCATACTGGCTCTTTCTCCACCTTCTCTCAAAGAGACACATTTCTGGTCTATTGCCTTGTGACTAAACTCAAAATCAAGCTGTCCTCCTGGGTCATAAATTTTATGATTGAAAGTGCAGATGATCCCACTAGTCTACCCTATGGAATGACCATCACTCACATCCTGAAGGCTCATAATATTTCCCTACCTGCATATCCCTTTATCTCTGTTTTGAAATCTTAAAATTTCAGAGTGTTTGAGAGTATGGGGTATGTGTGTGTGAATGGCTCATGGGTTAAAAACAAGAAGGAGAAGTCAAGCATGCTCAAACAGATTCCAAACCCAAACCTTCTATTCTCATCCTAACCACAGTGATCCTGACTTTGATGAAAAGCTTAGTGCCATTGACAATCAGCTTTCTGCAATCAAAGATCTTCTCACAGCCACTCAGTCCATTGTTGGTGACATTCATGCTATCTCCAAAGAAACAAGGTCTGATGTTTCCAAGATAAGAGTTACAGTTTTGAGAGTAAGGGAAAACGCTGTCAAGGCATTCAATGAGGTTCATAACAGGCTTGATGGAATGAGTGTTTCAGCCAATGCCAGCTTTGATCGACTAAAGGAAGCGATTTGCAATACTCTTACATATTTTCTGCGTCGTTAATGTGGAAGTTTAAGACAATTTTTTGATGTGCTTTTTTTGGACTAGATAACCATTCGGTGGATGATTTTTTTGTTTTCTTTTGTTTTGCTATAACTTTGCAATTTTGTCATGCTATAAATCATGTTTTAGAATGTAATTTATTTTACTATTCCCTCTTTGCGATGTCAAAAAGGAGGAGAAAAGATATATGTATTTGTATAGTTACAAATAAGGATAAGTCGACTGAAGAGTAAATACAGGTAGAAGTTCACGACACTTTTTGAGGGGAGTCATAGATCCTGCAGAAGAAGTCGACTACAAGAGCATCAACAACTATAACTAGAGAANTATATTTGTTCTTTGTATAGGAACTCATGGATAACATTCAAGATTGAAGGAATCAATCAGAGAAGATCAAAGAACTCATGGATAGCATTCAAAATTGAAGGAATCAATCAGAGAAAATCAAGGAAAGCATCCAAGATTAAAGGAATCAATGATAGTGTCCAATACTGACGAAATCAATTAAGGCTAGACTGAAGGAATCAAATCAATCAAGAGTATCGAAGATCTTGCAAGATAATCAATCAAGTATCCTAAATTTGGAAGGATCAAGATTCAAGGAAGGATATCCGGCGCTATCAAGTCATGTATAAGGGAAGTCATTAAAGTCTCTCGTCAAGTCAAAGCCGAGTCGTTACTGAATAACCTTATTCTTGGAAAAGATCAATCTCTTTTCAAGGATCAAATCTCTTGTGTTGGTAAATCTCTTCAGAAATCAAGCATCTTTCAAAGTATTTAAACTTGTATTCGTACCTTAGCACACATACTTTGATCAAACCAAATACCCTATCTTTGTTCTACTACAAACAAACATTGTAGCTCTACTAGATCTGCGATGTAACAAGTTAGAGAAGAAAGAGATAACAACACTGGTGAGGCATTGTATCAAAGAGAAACGAGTGACATAGGAACTGAGCTATCGGAGTAGATCACACCATTCACTGTGTACTCAAGAAACTCATTCACTGAAAGAGAATTCCCTTGCAACCCAAAGGGACTGGACTAGGATTCACATTAAATTCGAACCAGTATAAAAATTTTGGTGTCTTTAATTCCTACATTTAATTTCTGCATCTTAAATTATGTCCTTACTGTTATCAAGTTATTATATCTAGTCGACTAATTAGAAAACTAGTCAACTGGTAACGATTAATTTTAAAAAATAAACAATTCAACCCCATCTTGTATTATATATATATATATATATATATATATATATATATATATATGTGTGTGTGTGTGTGTGTATGTGTGTGTGTGCACGCGCGCGCGCGCGTGTGTGTGTTATATACATATAACATACACATTTTATATGTTTTTTGGTTTGCAAATGTAATTAGTTTCGATCAGTCGATTAATTTTTTTTTCTTAAAATAGAAATGAACCAACCCATCCCTTAAATAAGAATGACTTAACCCAGTCTGACCCAATAACCATATATGCAAGTTAAAATAATACGAAAAGTGAATTCTTCCCCCATAAAAAACTTAGTTCGGAATGCATGAGATTCTGACAAAAAAATAAAGAAATAAAAGGTATAATTAGAGAGAACTTGAAACAAAATACTATCAATTTGAACAAAAATCTTGAAAAGAAAAATAAAAGAGAAAAGTATCATGTTTTAAAGGATTTAATATTCATTTTTAGTTTTATTTTAATTATATATATGAGTATTGGGTCGGGTGGGTCGGGTTGGATCATCCCTATTTTAGTTGGATTATTATTTACTAGACTAAAAATAAAAATCACAAAATAAGAAAATACTGCTGGAAA